GCAGACGCATCTAGTTAAAAGTCCCTTTTCCAACTAGTAATCTAGATGGCAACTAGTCGTGTATCGCCCGATTACAGACGAAATGTATCTAGATTTTTCCCATAGGTGATATTTGCTTGGGATATTGGGTATACAATAATTGGGACCCAATATTATTAAATAGCCAATAATATTGTATAATATCTTTGATAATGATTGGTATTGGTGCATGCCTATTTGTAGTACGATTGTAAAAAATAAAGGAAACATGGAATTCAAAAACTTTGGGAACGTTTCTTGTAGTGAACTCCATAAGCTATCGATTGATTAAAAAATATTTTGTTTTGTTGCTCTGTCTCCGAAAACAAAGAGTTAAGAAATCGATAAGTTTGATAAAAACCACAGGAGTTGAATTTTTTTAACAATTATTTTTCTGCCAACAGGCAAGGTACATCTTGCGGACGTATTGTGTGTTATAAGGGTATATATATCGACGGTAGCGTCTGGGGAAACTAATACTCTATTTGTCTGCTTATTTTATCAGTGTTTCTTCTACAACCGCTGTAAAGGATTAACAAGAAGTTTAACTCAATGTATTCATTTTTTTTCTCATAATTTTAGTGGATTTATTAATACCATTTCGTTTTGGTTGTACAAGATTAATACTTGTCGGTGATCCGCAACAATTATCACCCTGTGTATTATCTGATGCTGGAAAAATGTCAAATCTTTCACAATCATTACATTTTCGACTGGACAAAATTTTTAATTCAATATCCTGTGAATCAAAGCCGTCAATAATGTTACGAGTTCAATATCGAATGCTGCCCGAAATAGCATTATTCCCTAATGAATATTTTTATAACGGGAAACTGACAAATGGCGGCACACATCAACATTATCCATTAAAACCATTATTTTATTTTAATATTGAAACATTATCACATAAATATGATGTTTATAAATCAGTTTATAATACAACTGAAGCAAAAATTTTATCACAATTTTGTCGATTGATAATTCTACATTTAAGTGGAAATAATTATGAAACATGGAAAGCAATTAGATCCGATGATGAAACAATTATTAAAACTCAACAACGTATTGGAATAATTACACCATACAATGGACAAGTACGGAAAATACAAAACCAATTGAAAAATTTAAACATTTACTATACGGAAATGGGTTCAGTCGATAGTTTTCAAGGAAAAGAAAAAGATATTATACTAATATCCACAGTACGGTGTAAAAATGCAGGATTTTTAAATATAGAAAATCGTCTTAACGTTATGCTTACACGTGCAAAATATGGACAATACATATTTGGAAATTTGACACATTTGAAACAATATAATGGTTGGAAAGAATTAATTGATAGTGGTACACAGCAGACACTCAATATAGATAATACAATGTCATTTGATATAGTAAAAATGTTTAGAAGTCTTTTCATAAGCTAATAATAGTTAACTTAGTATTGTTATTATAGTAGAATTTGTTGTTATCTTCTAGAAATAAGAGTAATAAAATACATCAAATAGAATAACAAGATAATATGATCCTACAGTCAATCAATTTTGCACCAATTTCAACTATTTCTAAGGTTCTATGATGATCTGTTCGAACGCTGCGTCCACCAAAACTGGAGATCCGCCGAAGTTTCAAGTCAGTCTTTGATTTTCAGCCATTGTGGCGCACAGAACATTAAAAATAGTTGAACTTGGTGCAAAATTGTTTTTTCTATCGATGTAGACCGTACTGGAATGAATTTGGGTAGAAAAAAAGGTTTCAAAAGGTTTTTTAGAGATCTGGTTTTCCAAAAACCCTCTGGAAACCTTGCAAAGGTCTACACATTTTTCTCAGTAGAATCGCCGATGTTTTCTTCCTATAAATCCAAATTTTCATTGAATTTGAGGATTTTATTGCGAAATAAGCTGTCAGATTCGAAGAAAACTGCACAGGTTTCACCGAAAACGCATAATCTCAGGAATGAAAAGAAACCTGGAAAAAAGGATACGTAACTTTTTTCGTGATGTTATGACGAGTATAATCACGTAAAAATATTAGCTTCAACCCAAATCTTTATACTGATCACTTTCAAACGTTATTTTTACTAATGTGTTCATATTTTCACTTCCACGAATACTCTTATTAGGAACGTCTTTATTATTCAAAATCATAGATCATAATCACAATCAGTGCTTTTTCTTATGTGAAATCTCACAAACAAAATATCCTTGCAAAGAAGGACATCCTGGAGGACAAATCTTTTAATGTGGGACAGCCCCCCCTTATGGAGGGACACCTGGCAACCCTGCTGACGCCAGCCTTTGCAATTCAGTCTTAGCAGCATGAGACATTTTTTGACCAGGCCAGACTCGATCCACAAAATTAATAATCTTTTCAAACAAAGTGGAAGAACAAAAAGAAATCGAAAACGTTCCTCAAAAAACTAACGAAATCTTTAAAATGATCCAGCACACTGTTGGGGTTCTGTTAATTTGCGAAGCTTTAGTTTTTCAATGATAATTTTACAGTGAAACTCCGGACATATGAGAATTTTACCTTTGTGACTAAACATAAAAGTGCTTGTTGATACAAAAAATATATTTATAGAGGGAAATTCCAATTCAAGGAAACAAATTCGCGTGGCTGTTTCTCGCTCAAATGATCGCCTTAAAAAGTTTTAGGACCATTAGTACGGATTGTAGAAAACCATCGTTTTTTCACTACGGAGTAACTCTAAAAAATCATTTTGTGAAAACTTCCTAGGACTTGCCTGTTTTCTGAAGGAAAAGGCAGTTTGTAGTATAAAGTTTATATACGAGGATTTTTGTGCTTTGCAGATGATTTTTTGCCAGTAGCTGTAAACTTTCGGGGTGAAATTGTGATTGACTAATTTCGATATAAATTTGGTGTTTACAGCTACCGAATGCTCTCTAAAAAAAATCGGTATTTCCAAAAACCAAAAAGGTATAGCGTTTTGCGTACAAAACCCATTTTGGTTCCCTATGAAATATAGAAAACGAAATTAAGTTTCCCTGCAGCTGCTAAACCATTAGGTTTTGTAGTGTACCGTTTAACAAGCAAACTAAAATACCAAGAGGATATTTCATATTCTAAAATACCTTTTAAGGGTTTTTCATTTTTGATAGCATACCCAAAGGGTCTACTAAAGTACAAATG